AAAATTACCCACTGTTGATGACCAGCCTTTTCACAATCAGTTTTAATTCCACAATTAAAGAACAAATACTAAAGTTTTCAGGAATGTCCTTGTAGATGTGGTACTGTAATTACATAAGATCCTCTGCCAATACTACTTCAGCAATCAGGCAGGGTACCCAAGAGCATCAAAAGGATTCTGATGGAAACATTTCTAGAAGCATCACACAATCTGAACATGGTGAAGCATCTGCTTGAGGTTGTCAGTTTTAACTAAAATTCCAAAGGATTTCACAAAACGCAGGTTTTGTCTTCTGTAGATTACCATAGCTAGGCAGCATCAAGGAAAACAATCAAACATAATGTATTGGATGATTAAGTTGGGTTTTTTTTAACGGGAACCAAAAATAACTACTAAATCATGAACTTTCTTTTTCATAAGTCTAGGTTCCAAATATTCACTAATTAGTTGGGCTCCTTCGCCTACTAGATGCCAGATGAATTTTGGCTGCAATGCATGAGTGCAGAAATCAATACAGCGTGAATGCTCAAGCGCCTGCAAGAATGCTGATTACTGGAGGAAGTGATTTTGGCAGGACATCATTTAAGTGACTTAAATATGCATACCATCATGAACTGACATTTAAATTAGCCATGACCCAAAAATGCAATGCAATGCAAATTTAGATTGTTTAATTAGATCTTCACTACTCTCTTGATGTCTGTGGTGAAGACTTACTATGGAAGCTTTAAATTGACCACTATACTGGCCTTAGAGTCCTTAGGGATAGAATTTAACATTGAAGAGGGGAGATTTCCCCATAATCAGTCTGTGACATGTCCTGGTTTGGGGTGTCATAAAACAGGAACTTTGATAGACAGGTCAGATGAATCATCACACAAGGCATCCTTGTGGTAAAAATAAGTTTTTTTCGCTACCTTCACATAATACTCTGTACTTGTCTACATTAAATTTCATCAGCCAGGTGTTAGCCCTGTCTTGGATTTGGATATCCTTTGCTAGTTTTACAATGCTAATCATCCTATTTTGGTATAATCAGCAAAATTTGACTAACTATACGAAAACCTACAGAACATCAGTGGTCCCCATCCCTGTTCCTGGGGGACTGCTGTGTCTGCAGGTTTTTAATTCCAGCTGAGCTCTTAAATTATAGGTGCTAATTAATGCCTTTAATTGATCTGCTTGTTTATTTAGCTGTTTCTGCTCTCATTCCTTGGTGTCACAAATACTCTATTTCAAGCAGTTTCTGACAACTTCAGCACTGAGAACACTCTTTCCCCAACTTGCCTTTTGAGCTTACTCACTGTAATTCCGACTCTTAACAGGAAAACAATTTCTGATGAACAGAAACAGGTGGGAGTGACAATGTATCAGACATGTCCATAGTGAGCAGTTTTGAGTTTCTCCAGAGGTCTACTTGATTACTTTTCAGGCACAACACCTTAAGGAGGGAAGGTCTGAACCTCAGAACTGTTATACAAAGTATAAATCCCAATCAAATATTTAGAAGGTGAAACCAATTTAAAAAATGTACCTCAAAATGACAACCGAAATCAATTAGCATGTGATTAAGAACTGGTTTGGAGAAGAATGGTAGTATAGGAGCTGTGAGCTCTGGGCATGCAGCTGTCATGAAACACTCAGGGGGAAAAGAGAGAATGTGAATGGTGAAACTACAGGTAGTTGAAGGACTTGAGTGAATGAATGCCTTAACCACACCCAGTAGGTGGGATAAATAGGAGCAGTTTCCTGTTATTTTGGAGTTCAATTGCTGTTGGTAATGTAGGTTAAGTGCATTTCTTTCTGTTACATTATCTTATATTAATAAAACTGGTACACACTGTAGCTTATTTAACTCAGGTCTGTGTCCTCCTGTATTTGCCAATTACAATTATGCTTAAGTGTTATGGTTCCTTGACAATATAAATTAGTGAAGGCAGTTGTCCTAATACAGATCCCAGTGGTACTCCAATAATGGAATCCTCTGATTTTAAACATTAACCCTTTTTCTGTATTCACAGTTTCCCATCCATTAATCAATGCTTATTTCAAAGATCTGTGCTATCTTGACTGCCTGATACCTACTGCAATTAAACATTAGTCTGTTGTGTCAATTGTTATTAAAAACCTTCAGAAAGTGTAAATACTGTATATTGTATCTAATCTGTGTGTGTTCATTACTGTTGTTCTTGGTTCAAAGAACTCTAAACTGCAAAATGTACCACCTTATAAAGTAGACATGCCTATTGTAAATGAGCCGTGCATCCAGAGAAACATCTCTTTATTTCTGTATCTATATTTTTATAAATATTAAGTACATAAATTTAGGATGTTTATCTCATCTTTTGATTAATTGTTCATTCATGAGTGACCATGCTTGAGTGACTTTGACTGTTATATAAGCACCAAATGACCTCATTGGTGAGAGGGATGATTGGGAACAGGTTAAGAAGTGATTTAACCTGCTGAAAGTCGAGTCTGGTGAAAATGAAGGAAGAAGAACATGCAAAGGAACCCAAATGTCCTGCTTATTAAGAAAACAATGGTTTCATGGTACTGGTAAATTGGAGGCTGGACTGAGTCACTTTAGGTGGATTTTCCAATAATGGTGTCAACTGTTTAGCGATGAATCAGCGTTTTGTGTAGACCACCTTAATGGATGTCAGTGTGATATACAACAGACTAATTGAAGGGAGGCCCAACTGTGATGGTGTGTGTGAGATTGGCAATAGTGTCTCACTGCTACTGGGACCTCACTTGCTGTTATTCTTGTGGGTTTACCTGGAAGTAACAATGCACACATGTTCTCATGCTGCTCAAGTAACCATGGGTTTTTTCATGATGAGAACGTGACAGCTGTACTTACAGATGCCAAAATGTGTGCCCCATTAAACATTGTGGGATGAGTTGGCAGGGTTTCTGAGTACACTCAGAAAACAGTGAACAGGAGCATGCTTGTCCAGACTCTTCAAGAGTAATGGGACAGCATCTTTAACCTGGTGCAAAGCATGCATCACAAATGTACAGTTTGTACTGGCACCAACAGTGTCCTCAGCATAAGGAATTTACCAATGTCACATCCATTCAATAGTATGATAATGTATGTTCTAAAAACATTTGACCATTTTCTTGAAAATAATATGAATTTGTTGCAGCAAAACCAAAAGGATTTAATTTCAGCTCATTGTATATGGGGTGATGTCTGTATTAAAAAATGTGAATTACATTATGTAATATCCTATTTAGTGCTTTTTCTACAGTTTAGAGATAAAAACATCTTTGAAAATAAGGATGTAAAGTACACACATAAAAGGATGCTATTCTGTCCATTTTGCTCATTTGGTTTTTAGTTACTAAATGATCCAAGGATATTGCTACTGTTTGAAAGAAGCAGGGCTTGACTACATACAGTAGGGATAGCGTGTTCCACGTTCTGGCAATGCCCGTCTCTAAACCTCCAGTGATGAACTATTCTGCTTTGGATATTCATTGGTTTTGTATGAAGAAGACTGAATTTAGTAAGATAATTATTAAGGCAGAGGCATTTAATAAAACTGTCATTTATCACAATGCAGAGAAAAAAGACGATGTACTGTATGTGGATGCATTTTCTGCATGTGGATATAAGCAATTCATAACAGAATTTAGAGAAGCTTGCATAATAGAAATGTATGATTTATGAGAAATTTATTATTTCCACTAACATTGCAAAATTAGGGAAACGTGTAGTATTGTGGAATGCTGTTTAGTGCACCAGACTGCAGGTTGTTGGTTCAAATTGTGTGTGGGATACTGCTGCTGAACCCTTTCTCAGGTTACTTCACTCAGATGTCTCTCACAAATGCCCTGCTGTGTAAACTGATGCTCTCCAGGTCATCACTGTAATCAGAATTTTTCCTCAATTGTCTTATCTGGTTAAATAAAGGATTAATAAATGCTTGGAAAGTGGTCCTGCGTAGCTTTACACAAGGTCATAAGTGCTGATGATAGATTTTCCCTTTATCTGATATACTGTATTTATACCATATTGCTCCTTCCATACAATATTTACAAAGCCTATTCATTTACCATTTCTGCTCTTTCAACAGGCAGCAGTTGATTCTAAAAATGAATTATGCTACATTGTGATTGAAGTTTAACATTTCATATGGCCATTTTTTTAAGGGCAGTGACTTACACAGTACAGTACTGTATGTAGTCATGGTAAAAAAAACAACTTTTATCCTGTTATCCCATCTTGTTGCAGTAAATATCTACTAAAAAAAGAATTATGAAAACTCAATTATAATGATTTACTGAAGAGTTCGTGTTTATATTTTTTACTCGAATTATTTGCATTATTAATAAAAAGACAATCCTTGATATCAAGTGTGACACCTTAACCTTCAGCAGCCGGGAGTGATAAACTTAGATTCTTTCAGTTTGCTGTTCTACTCCGATATCGCTAAGACATCACTGATCAGTGAGACTAAAGTGCAAGACGTTTATCAGTTTTAGTGAGTGGTGATTCTCACACTATATTGTGCGTCTCTAACGCTTCCACAGCGCACACACAGCTTCAGAAAACTTAAGTGGTAATCGCCGTTTTCAACATCTTTCAACGAGATAAGTTTTCTGAACGCCGGGAACAGGTCAACTGTTAGCACTGTTTGGCAGTGTTTACCCACGCTTTGGTGAATAAATTGTAACTTTTCCTAAATGCATACGATATTGATACACAGAACTGTCTCATAATTGTACTGATAACTGTTAAAACAAGCAGGAACTCAATAAAATAACTTTTTGGCTTTTTTTTTCTTAATGTGAACATCATCTAAGATTGCAAATTAATAAAGTATTTTTCATTCCCGTTACGTCGCACAGAAAAAAAAAAACTTTTTTTTTCTTAATAAAGATGTCCAACCTCGTCAAGTGTCTTTTTTTCCTTCTCGGGGGACAGGATCCTCCTAACAGCCAGTTAATTTGCATATCTAGCGGTCTGCAGGACCCTGCAGGAACCGTTTTCTCTCACTTGAGGCTGGAAGCCAGAGCTAGTTGTTTTCGGAATCCGGAAATGATGAAAAATGTTTCAGAGCGAAAAAGTCTTTTTGGTGAAAGAGCAAAAGTGACGGAATGGAGAAGACTGGGGTGATGTTGCGAAATTCGTGAGAGCAGCAGCCCAGATTGAGTGTAAAAAAGGATCTGGGAGGGGAAAAGCAGAAGAAAGATTTCTTTCTTGCGCTAAGAAATTAATGAAGGAGGCGCTAATGAAGTTTCGCTGAAAGGAAAAAAAATGAAAATGGGGACAAGGCGAACTTGAACTTGGAGCAGTTGACATGTGTGAAAGGTACCTATGGAGTGGGTCTTATTGGTATAACAATGGTCTTTTTGCACAAAACAGTGTGCGATAATTGTTTTATTTTCATGTTTGTTGTATTTTCATATATTGCCAAGAGAAACATCTTTATATTTTCCAAACTTTTTAAAGTGTGTTATGCAATGTACATAGTTAGCCGTTGTTGTTGTTGTTTTTTCTATTTTAGCGGAAAGTTTTTAACCATGTACACAATGTGACACGTGAAGAGGGCTCTGTAAGCTGAACTGTTACACTGTTTCGCTGTAGGGTCGGAGAGTGACTTTCTTGCAAGGTTTTTCACTTGATCTCAAGGAGAGAGACCTGGCCCATGTCCCAGGAGACAGACGCGCCTCCTCCTCTTGGGCCTGCAGGGCCGGGGAAGGAACCTTCTCAGGAGACAGACCTGCTTCTTTCCAGACCACAGGGTAAGACCACCTCAGCACCCCGCCTCTGAGCGGACACTCGCCTCTTTTTCTTTTACCGGCCCCCTCAGTTTCTAGCAGCTACAGTACGCGGCTGCTCGGCTCCCTCTCATGATTAGATCGCAGTTTATGCTATGAAAGATTTTATTGAAATGGCGTTCTATAGAGGGTGTTTATACCTGGATTAGACAGGTGTGTGTGTGTGATATTTCTGCATAGTAATTTTACAAAAGGAAGCAAAACGTCCAATATTGTACCACTCAATTCTTACATGAGTAAAATGTAAGAATTGAGTGGCAAATGAGGAACGGAGGTGGTGGGGGGATTAGATTAACGGACTGCGTATGCATTTTAAATTTGCCATATTTTAGCCTGGGAGGCACAGTAAGTTAGAAAATATAATACACATTGTTGTACAGGACTGAGGCTGGTCATCCCACTGCATCCATTAGCATCAAGGCTCTGATACTCCAGTAATATTAATATTGTAAGACTGAACGGTTCAAGACTTGTGTTCACTTGGTTGTCACCTATATATTTGAATTAATCTGAAAACTGGAAAAATCTGCAGTACGAGTACGTTTACTAAGACTTTATGAAATTAATATAAATTTTCAGTAGTGTGAATCATTGTTTTCATTGTTGCATACTAAAGATTTATAAGTGGATACTTTTACATTTCTTGATTTTAAATTAGGTAATTTTCAGTACCTACTGTACCAAGCAAACTAGTTCTAAAATTGCAGTTTTAGAACAATGATGCTGCAATTGTTTTTTAAATATTGCAGTTAAAGCTTAAAACCTACACTATTCATGCATTGAAGTTTTCTTTTGTTTAAAGGATTTTTTATGATTTTTGCAAGCCACAATAAATGTTTCAACTACACTTTTATACTTTTCTATTCTCAGAAAATATTGTCTTCTTCTTTTTTCTGATGATAATATTTACAATGAGCAGCTGGCACTAGCTTTTGCAATAGCTTTGTGTTTATTATATCAAAGGTATCTGAACTGTCAAGTTTCAGGTCTATATTTTACAGATTCAAACTTTTACAGCAGCATATGACATGAGTTGTGAAACCATGTTTTTGATCCACAAAAAACATGAATTCTCTCATCTGTCTTAAATATGAATCCTGATTGTATCCACTTATTTTTATCATTTTCTAAAATACTGAAAGGCTTGTTCATGAAGTTCTGATTTTGCCCACTTTTTATTTCTTATATTTTGTTTTGTTTCATTCAAAATGTTTTTGCAGGTCTCTGAATTTTTAAAAGTGATTATAAACCATGCTTTTGTCAGGCCAAATTAGGAGGTGCCCTGATACTGGTACAGCTTTTCTTCATGAATGTAACTGAGAATCACTTGGTGCTTCTTTGCAGGTTCTTAGAAATGATATTAATATAGTTTTATTGGTCTACTGTACTCATAAACAGGCATTAGGCATAATAATGTTTTCATTATTTCAAAATACAAATTGGAGGAACGCCTTGGTGCCTATTAGCAGCAGCCACAGCCAATTATAGTTTTTAATTAACTTTCTAGTTGCCTTTAAGATTATCTTATGCAAAATAAGCTTGTCCCCATTTTTAATCAGTCACTGAGCCATTAACCATTCTGTATATACGGAGAATCATTACAGCACTGTCAAAAATAGTAAAGCAGGACAAAGTAAGCAATCATTAGAGCTGATGGCAAATGGATTTTTGCAAGATCATCAAAGGTTCACATTTGAGAGTGGTTTTTACTTTTGAAAAACGGAATGTTTTGAGAACAGACCCCTAGATTTTCAGAAATTATCGCCTCATACTGCATATACTATACAACACACACTTTGTTTTAGCAGTAGTCTGAGTTCACATAGAAACCATAGCACCGAAGTAGAAAGCTGCAGGAACCCTACAGTACCTGTTGAAGCTGCAGCATCAGCTTTGCGGAGCCTGTTCTGATCAAGGGTGTGCACAAGCTCAGTTTCTGAATACTAATGCCCAATAGTAAAATAGTGAATTGTGAAGGAAGTTGTTAATTTAATAAAGCTATGTTTCGAGCTTGCAAGTGGGACGTCTGAAACTGTTCGTTACAATGGGGCATATTGACATGAATTGGTTGTATGATGCAGATACTCGAATGGTATTTTTCCAAAGGTTACTTTTCTGTTTTTTATTGCTGTTTTGTGTCTGAAACAATAGAGAAGACAGACAGGAAATAACATGGAATTTGTTTAATGTTCTGAAATCTGACTTCCTTCTTTACAGCATCCCCTCTTAAAATGTAATTGAAATACTTACAGTATATGACAGATGGCTTTTAAAAGAACAACACACTCTTGTTGACATCAGTAAGTACAAGTTAACACTCATAGTAGTGAACATCTGTAATGATAGTGCCAATTAATTTGCTTAATTGTGTTCAAGAGGATACTATTAATGTGGGTTTCCTGTCTGAATAGGCACAGTAGTTCAGAGTTTTTTTGTTTTGGTTCATGTTTGTTTAACCTATGTGCATAGTACTACATTTATTTGTATAGCTTATAGCAATGATTAGTTTGATTTTTTTCTGCAAAAGAGCCCAGATTTTTAGAATATCAGGACAATCTTAATATTAACGAATTCTGTGGAAGTTAAATGCAAAACAAACAAACAAAGACCAATCTGCCTCTGCTGAGCCTTTGAAGAAAAGCTGTCATTGCACAGTGCTAAATTCAGTGTTTCAAACCTGAGAATGAAGTATACAGTATGCAGAATGTTTCAGGGCCTGTAGGCACAAAAAAACAGGAGCCCAAATTGCAAAGTGGGTTTTGTAGAACATTATTGATAGGAGTATTTCAGATTTATTAGCCCCAGCATTGAACGTGTATTATTTGTCTCAAACAAGAGATGGAAATTAATATATAATGGGACATACTGTTCAGAGCCTATAATGTACTAGTATAGGTTCTGATTTTTGTAAATTGTAAAACTAATTTCTTACAAGTGTGGGTAAATGGAATAGGGGGTGTGTAACAGAGAGTACCAAGGTCTTTTCTAAAAATAAGATCTCTCCTGAGAAACAGGGATTAAATAAAAATGTCCAACCGTCTGCCAAGTACGAATTCCAAACAGGATATTTGATGTGAGTATGCTGTTGGGTATCCACAAGACCACCCTTGGCAAACCACAGGTTAATGAAAGGTGAATACTTCTAATGTATGTTTAACAAGCAGTTTGTTTTGTGATTTATCATTGTTTTTAAACAAACTTACCTATCTTTAAAAAATCGGAATTTTGATGAGTTCTGTCCTTTTAGTTTATAGCTTTGGCAGAGAGCTCTATATTTGGCTTTAAATATTGCATCTGATACTCCCACAGTGTTAGGCATGCATTCTGCACAAAACTTTATCTTTTTTGGCAGAACAAAACTTGTTTTTTTGTGATAGGGACCTTAACAGTTATTGCAATTCTAATTTACCTCCTTATGCACTATTTAAAAAACATTGGATTTCAGCTTATTATAATATCTATGGTATGCATGCTAAAAATATTACCTTTATTGAGTTGAACACTTAGTATCATAATACAAACCATTTAAAATGGTTTTCATTTTATTACCCCATTAAGGTAAGGGTGTTACTGTTAAGAGTTTGAACAAGTTTGAACAAGTGTAACCCCAAGGATTCTGGTATTAAATGTTATCCACTAGACAGACAAGTACAAAAAGTGTATTTCCTTATCTTGAAGTATATGACATCTCCAATAATAAGAAAATGCAGCTTTGTTTCAGTAGTGATAATTATTTTGACATATTATATTTCCATGAGATTCAAAGCTCTGTATAGTAGTGCACAAAATATACAACAAAAATAATGAAAGTGGAAGAAAAATGCAACAAATTACTTTGTGAACCTAAGAGTAAGACTAAATTACATATTAAAAGCTTTTGTAAAAAGATAGGGCTTTAGGTGAGTTTTGAAAATATTGACAGTCTCTTAAGGATTTGAGCAATAATAGTATTACCCATTGTGTGGACCCCAGTTTTCAGCTGAGTAAAGAAGGCCAGAACTGGCATATTAAATGTTATGAACCCCGTTCTATTTATTCAGTAAAATAATCTGGGACTAGACCATTCATTGCCTTCCATGTTCTGTATACAGCAGGTGGAATTGACAAAGGACAGGAGTCATGCTGATGAAGAGTATTTTTATTTTATGTACCTATACAAAACCTGTTCAGCACCTTAGAAGATACCACAGGAAGTAAGGTGTGAGAGTGGTTGAATCCTGATGAAACAGAGGTATTTATGTTATGTTGTCATGCAGGCAGTGCAGGGGACTTACTGTAACCAAGTGGTGTCATACAGGTGGAGGGAATCTTTTATAACATGAGCTTCAAATGACAGAACAAGATCAGCATTAATACAAAGGGTACTTCTATCAAAGGTAGTGCTGTCAAAAACAAGACTGAAGACCACAAATATGTCAGAAGCCTATGAGCATAACCTAAGTCATATTATAGTATAACTATTTACAGCTCTGTTGCATCCACATCTTAATATTGAGTAATTTTAAAAGTGCACAAAGTTCTATCTGATTTAGTCTGCAAATAAAACCGAATGTCATTAGCATAGCAGTAAAACCCAAATCCATGTTGGCAAATACTCTCACCAAGAAACATCAGGTCCCAGGACAGAACCCTGTGGAACTCCATAAGTGAGGAAAAAGTCAGATGTAAAACAGCCCAGATGTATGAATTGGTTTCTGTAAATCAAGAGCCAAATCAACAAACAGATACCTCAGTGATTCCTAGGAAAATTTACAGTAATCCAGTATAATGCACCAGGATACTGTGATTGATATAATCAAAACCACTTAAATCCAGAAAGAGAAGGTTATTAAGTGATGTATAATCAAAAGCCATCAGCAAATCATTAACTGCCTTAACAAGAGCTGTGTATGTGCTGTGTTTCTCTCCTGTCCCTAACTTAAAAGGTTCAAGAGCTCATCACTTGGTAATAGAAAAGATTATAATTCATCTGCCACCACCTGTTCTACATGTTTTTTAAAAAGAAATGGCAAATTGGAAATAAGATTGTAGTTAGGTACTTGGGAAACCTGGCCAGTTGTTTTTGACACAGGTGTGAAAGCAGCACACTTTATGCCTGAGGACACAAAGCAGACTTTCAGGCATGCATTGATGGGATTAGTAACAAATTCATAGCAAAGAGCAGTGAGGTGGTTCTGTGGCTAAGGATCTGCTCCTGTGGCTGGAAGGTTGCCCGTTTGTATCCTCCAGCCAGCAGAGGAATCCTACTCACTTGGGCCCCTGAGCAAGGCCCTTAACCCTTAACCCCAGGGACGCCGTATAAATGGCTGACCATGTGCTCTGACCCCAAGCTTCTCTCCCTGTCTGTGTGTCTCATGGAGAATAAGTTGGGGTATGCGAAAAGACAAATTCCTAATACAAGAAATTGTATAAGGCCAATAAAGTGATCTTATCTTAAATAGTACCCAGGACACAGGTATTAGGTCTCATTTAGGTACCAACTCAATTAAATAAGCAACATCAACAGCTGTAAAATGAGGGCAACACAAACCCATGAAAGCAGGGGAGGGTGAGGTTGTTGTGAGTCCATGACGTGAAGTCAGTTAATAGCTATTATAGTTATGTACGTTTTTGTAAAAGAATTACATGACGTGTACAGTACATGTAAGGCTTACATTGTTTAGAGGAGAAAAGCAAGCCTGTTGGCTAGCTGAAGCATTTAAATTGATTGTGGAGAAAAGGAGTGCAGGATTACCGTGACCATTCTCAATGAGACAGAATGTGGCCAAAGGCATCCATATAGGCCTACTGATGTTGTTTATAGACTTGTAAGTAAATGTTCAGTGCCATATTTCCATGACATTGTCCTTCTCTTTTCATAGGACACAGATCATTTGTGCAGCAGGAGAAGAATGAGACACATTTTTGTAGAAGTTAGGCTACCGATTACTTCTTAGGGTGTTACTGTAAATAGTGGCAGCATGGCCAAGCCAAACAGAAACAGAAACAGAGCTTCATTAAGGGGGATTTTTGTCACAGTCGGTTTACTGTTGGTGGGAAGTGGAAGGAGTGTTCATTTTAGTAAGATGGCATTATAATAAGAGTTCTATGGGTCAAAGGCCAAATCCACAAAAAGCTGAGTCTATAATATGAGTCTAAAAAAGTCTAATGTATGGCCGCACTTAAGTGGTGGGAAATTAATATGCTAAGCAAAGCCAAAACAACCTAGAGTGGCTAGGAAAGTGACATTAGTCAAGCCGTTTGAAGAATCCATATGTATATACAGTTCTCCAAGAAAGTAAAATACTTGCATTGGTTGAGCAAAAATTTAGTAGAAGGCTAAGGAGGAAGGTAAACCTCCTGCCAGCAGAACTGCCAGCAGAGGCTAAGAACCCTTCACGTTGAAAAAGAAGCAGTGGGATACAATGTGACATTCCACACTGGGAGTGTGATGTGTACAGGAAAACTAAAATCTTCAGTTTGTGTCACCATTATTGGGAAATTATTATTCAGTCTTTTCTATTCAATAGTCAATAATTCAAAATGACCACTTGATCATTTTTAGTTAAGTCCTATGTAATGTCTAGAATAAGAACTTAAACCTAAAAATATTCGTTACCCTACATAGTAAATTTTGATATTTTTTAAGTTTAACAATATGACATCTTTTGAAGGTAAATTCTGTTCTGATGCTTTCCATTATTTTCAGTGTTTCCAAACGTTGTCTTACTTTTTTTTTCTCTAGTACAAATCCCGTTTCAAAATTGATTTTTTAGACAGTAATGTGCATGTCTTAATTGCATATGGATTTCTCTTCTTTTAGATGCATCTGACAGTCCCTGTGAACCAGGACACCAAAGGAAAACAGCAGAGGCACTGATTCACAGAAACCAGGCTGCAGATGGGCAAGGCCAGGTATCTTGGGGTACTTCCACCAATGGTGATCTCATTCGAAGTAAGTGGCAACTAAGTCTCAATCAAGTGGCCTATTTAAAATCACAGCTGTCAAAGTACTATGTGCTTCTCTCTAGCAATGGTTAAGCAGACACTGCAATGCCTGTAAAATATGATTAGAAGGAAGTTATCTTTGAGTGCATTAACAAAAAACAAATAATTATTTGATTTCATGTAGTTACAGCAAATATGGATGCGTCCTGTATAAATGGATTGTAATTTCTGCAAGGATTTCTCTCTAATACACACTGATGTTATAGAACTAGGACATCCAAATCCATGTCCTTTGAGATCAGAACATATAAATTATGCACCGTCTCACTGAAAGACTTTGATCTTGTTCAACTTTGGTATTATTTACATCTGCACTTGAAAATCAGATTTTACCCTGTATTAAAGTTTTATTGAACTTTTGATTAATATTTTTGGTAGATTTCATCTCTGATTTATAAGTGGTTTATTCAAATATTGAAATATTTAGTGCTAAATCACAACCAGCATCTGCATGATTCAAACTTTTTCTTATAATAAAAGATTAAACATTGATGAAAATTTTGTGTATATTATAGCGTTTTCTACATGTTATATCATAATCATAAAAAATTTAATCAAACATAAAAGGCATTGATTTTCAGGCCAAGCTATTCTATACTGTATATTTCTGCTTGCAAATCATGGCTTGAAAGGATTTTTGGTGGATGTGATTTTTTTTTACAAAACATCTACTGGGTATTTCAGTCATTGTTTCTAAAACGGTAAAAGCTGTTTGAAGGACTGTAAATGGTGTCATTGTGAGTTAAAATATTACCAATGTACCTGTCTGACTTATCTAATTATTAATTACAAGTATTATACAAGTGCTATTTGAATGGTTTTATTGGTACTCAACTAATTGCATTTACAGATTGTCCAAAAAGTGTTGCAATGAATTGTCCATGCTATAGTTTTGATTGTGTGATAATGTTGACGCTACAGAAGCCAACAATGCTCTGGTTAGTAAATACAGGTGAATTTAAAATGGTGAAAAATGGCTTATTGCACTTAAAATTGGGTGAATTATAGCATGTATCCTGAGCCTTAGTGGAAGGATTTATTTTTAAGCCAAGACTTGCCTTCATATTCCACTCCATTGTCATGTGGTGGATGTGTTGTGAATACTGGCCTCGCTTACAGAGAATCACCATTTATTTGCTTAAAGGAGATCTTTATGCAGGTCCATTTATAAAATATACACTAGTAAGGGGAAAACTAATCGCTCAACTTCAATTAAAAAACTAAAAAAAATGTATTAAAGGACAAAGCATAACCTTTTTTGCCACACGGCCTGTGGTTCTGCACTTTTCTGGTAGTCGGGTGTCTTCTTCTATGGCTCCACTGTGCCAGATTTCAGAGCAGGCTGTCTTCCAGTCTTCCGGGCCTTTCTGGGCAGCTCTTTCCGAGCTGTCGGCCCCCGCTCACTCGACTCATGTAAGGCCAGATGCAGTGCACTCAAGAAGGGGCTGCTGCCGCCGTGTCCCGTTTCCTAAGCAGCAACAGCAAATTCACTGCTCACCATTTGAACCCCAAGACCTGGAGGGAGGCAGTCGGAATTGTTCACTTTAATTAAAACTGATTTTTTTAAATGCAGATTAGCATGTCATTAGGCACTCTGAGGAAGTGTTCGACTTTAACCGTGCATTGTGTTCTGTGCTCAGACACTCCAACTCCAAGGTCTATTTGCTCAAACATGTAAAACATGACATTTAATATCATTATGAATGCAATTTAATTCCTATAAATTGTGGTTTGCGTAAACATAAGCGATACAATTGATGAACTTGTCTGTATATATTCAAAACTGTTAATTTTCACGTTTTCATTTTTTCAAAACATTTTTTATGAAGGTTCTCTGTGGCCGATTCAGACAGAATATGTTTCGGCACTAATTCAGCTTTTGAAGTTTTGAAAATGTCTTTACTGGGTGCTGAAATTATTTCAGGCTGCAGATTCGCTTCTTCCTTAGGGTATAAGCTTCATGTTATATTAACAGAAAAATGGTATGATGTGTCTCATGATATGAAAATTCAAATAGGTTGTTTCTGCACAAAATCTATGATTGCATTTTTTTTTAAAGTTTGTTTTCAGTCTAAAGTTCTATATACATATATTACTCTGACAAAATTAAAAAAATCAATATATTTGCTGCCACCATATGCATTCCAGACAGATCACTTAAGAAGGGTAAGAAATCCAAGCGTACCAGAGTGACTTGCCTGGTCTTGTTTTGTAGGCCTCTCTTCTCTTCCATACACTTTATAAAAAGTTAATGTATTCATATCAGATTGTGCCTATGTACAGTACTATCGGTCAATGTCTGGACTCGTGTGAAGACAACAAAATTTGAGCATTATTTGGTTATTAAATGTTTTTTTTTCATAGACTATTATATGTCCTTGCTTAAGTATCTGTTTCCCTCTTTGGCTCGAGGTCCCTTGTCATTTCTGTGAACTTTGCATTCTGGAGAGCATGAATGTTTAATGAATATGCAAATATACCTGTCCGAACTGCTGCATAAAAGTTGTTACACAACACTGATCTATTAATTTATCAATTGACAAGTGATTCTAATGAAGGAAAAGAATATACTTCATTATTCATAAATGGAAGGCAGAAATACAGTATGGCAGCATTCAGCCATTCCTGTGTTATCCTGCTTTCTGCCTTAACCATACTATCAGCACACACCCTGAAATGCCTTTTAGGGCATAATTTTGAATTATATTCTGGTCTTATGTCTTCACATCTGAATAATGTGCTTCCACCACCTCTAATACTTAGTGAAAATGTGTTGTATTACCTTTACTTATTAGAAAACGAATAATTGGCAAAGTAAGAAAGGAACATCGCTCACAAAAATAACCATATCAGTGCCGTGCACATCATCAAATACAAAGCTAATAATTCACTGGTTTCTGCTGCTGTGGGCTTTAATCACCAAAAACAATGAAGCAAGTGGAGGGCACTAATCTTAAAATTAGCATTTTTTGCAGTTGGGAAAGGGAATCTTTCTGTTGAGCAGTCTTTAGGAAGGAGCAAACCTATCACTAATATTAGGGATACATGGTTTAAAACGTGTCATCCCTTTTGAAAACTTTCTGCTGAGTTTGGTTTTTATTTCAAAACTTCACACTCTGTTTAGCTGACAGTAATCAGTTAAAAGTTCATAACTGGTGAGCCAAGTTAGAAAGGTTCTACTTTCAGACTCTTTTGATTTTTCTCTTATATACTGTAGCAGTAACTATTAAATATAGCATTGTTACCACTCACAGCCTTATTTTTCTCTTATTCTTAATAGAAGTGTATCCTACCACCTGTACATGGTATAAATTAAAACATGAAGACCTCTTGCTAGTTTTTATTTCATTTTCTATTATACTATCTACAATACTGAAATTTATTTCCATAGACTGTTTCACAGACGCATCTCCTAATGAACTTGATTGAGAATGTTATAGATAGCTGTAAAAGATCCAGTTGATTTATAGAAATAAAATCAGTTTAAGGAAAGTACCGGCAGGAATGATTTAACATGAAGAAAATTCAGGTTTCAGTACCTAAATGAAACTTATGTGCTGTTCCCTGAAGTAATTTGTGGTGTCTAGTAATGGCAAAATATTGTTTCCGCCCACATAGTTTTTAGATGATTGTTTGTATTTCACACAACAGCTCTTTGTTTCTAAGTTGTAAACTTTTCCAGTTTGAGCCTCATTATATATCTTCTTTCTACCAGTGACGTGCTGTGAATTACATTTTTAAACAAGCAGTGTTGCCAAACCAGTCGAGCCAGTATTGAATTTACTAAGCCTTACTGAACTACAGATATTGATTCTGGCAGAAAGTATAATTTAAAAACAAAGAACAGCAAATAAACATTTCTATTTTCCTTTAGTCTAAACCTGTTTATAGAGAAAATAGCACCTTTGCATCAAGTTTTTAAAATAAAATAACATCTTAAGGACTCTTTTAGGGAAGATCATTTTCTGTTTCTAACTGAGAAAGTGTGACAGTATCACAAATGACACAAATGATGGTACACCATTCTGAAAGAGAATGAAGTTCCAATATGATACACCCCATGAAATACTATAAGTGTTTTCAAAGAGGTACTGTAGTAATCTGATTAAACGTTTTTAAGCAAAAAATGTTATAGTGTATGGTTTAATGCTGAAGAAAGGTTAATATATTTGAATGCACATACAAATTGACTTGTATTTGAAGATATAACCTGAAAATAGTGTTTCACAGAATCACTTTATTAATAGGAAAATGGATGGATGCATCATTATGATTTTCAAATTATTATAATCGTCAATCTCTAAAACTTCTGCACTTGCCCCTGAGTTTCATGTTTCTGTTTCGTGTTGATGTACAGAAGGGATGTCAAGATGGTACGTTTTCCAGTTTCCAAGCTGAAGCCTGTACACAGGGTCTTATCTTGTCATTCAGCGAGCCTTATGGCTTATGGAGGGTGTGTCTGCAGAAACATTTTCTCATGACGACTGAGGAGATAAAATACGGATAAAAGAAGAAGTTGACATAGAAAATTGCTTAGTAAAATACTAAGGATTCCGTGTTTTTTTCTTAGTATGAATTTATGTACAGTATGCAGCTGTTTAATTTCCTTTTTTTCCACTGAATACGACCACTTGACAAATAGCCTTTACCCCAAAAAATAATAATATCTAAATCCTGAAAGAGTATTTAAGCAAGAAAGTTCCAAGTCAGTTTCACCACTAATACATTTTTATGAGGTTCTGTACATTGTGTTCATTCCTGATTAGGCAAATTTATATAAACTTTCCAAGCTATTGTTTTTATATTAGTAATTTTCACAGTCCTGAAATGTAGATAGAAAATGTGACACGAAGATAAACTGTAACTTCCCTAGTAATTAATTTTAATTTTTAGGCAGAACCATAGAGCACCTGTCACTTTGAAATCAATTATGGTTGGCCTGTCCAT